ATTGTGGGAAAATTCTACTACCAGTCCTTCATCACCTTACACGAAATAGGGTGAATACATCTCATTTAATTCAACAAATCCATTAGTATCTTATTAAAAAATGCCATGACTCTGAGAGTTGCTCTATTTGCGTCATGTTACTTTTATCATTACTTACCGATTCTTCATATTTTTCTTTAATTTTCTAGGCTCTCTCATTTCCCTGCCGCTACAACGCGACTGAAGGCATCTTTAGCATGGATCTGAATTGCGGATTCCAACTGACAAATGCGTGCACCGGCGTGAGTGCTAACCTATTTAAGAAGACTCGCTTTTATTAACACTGCAGGCACACATGCAGCCAATGCCCGGGTGCCTTGACAACAAGGATTCCGGTCGGTCATTAGCATTCTCGCATCTGGCGCCTCCTCGGCGGAGCGAAGGGCAGCCTCGTTGCTGGTGGCGATGAGGCCAACTCGTCTCTCGTCTGGCCTCCAGCGACTGGCAACCACTGTTGGTGTGCCTGGACCTGGGATTAGTTGGGCACAAACGGTGCAATGGGTTAGTTGTAAGTGAGAAGGCAACTGGGCCAGGTCGTTCGTCACTTGTCTCGCCCCCGTGCCATCTTTCCTGCGCCGGACTCGTCTTCGAGCGTAGCAGTTACTGCAGCCGACGGGATGGTGCAGAAACGGGCTCCCATCTCCCACCTCCACACCGCGGCTCGATGTGATGCAAGGAGGGAGGGTTTCTTTTTTCCACAACCAAACGGTGTGACCATCGAGTTTAGTCCGGCCTGGCTCCGCAAAAGGTGCAGCATCAAGTCCCGTCTGGGTTGCTGAGGCGGCACGGTCCAGCCGGGATGGGATAGTTGTCTGGAGGGCAGGGCTGACTAGAACTAATTGTGAGCCCACTCAGCCGCCAGTCGTTAGGCCAGCCCAAAGGATAGGCTTGAAGATCACTTTTGCGTCAACTACAAACTCGCGGTGTTCGTGATTAAGGCGAATGAAGAGGTGAGAAGAGAAAGAGGGAGCAGGAGCAGGACAACGAATAGAGCTTGAAGGAGGCGCCAAAGAATTAAACGCCGTACAGGCCTAACGTGGGCATGCGGTGTCGCTATGACGGCGTAGGAACGGCGGGAGTGTATGGCACTGACTGAAGCTTGAGTTGCTCCTGGTTATGCCACTCGTGGTTTGAATGCCAGCTTCTGATTGGTCCGAAAAGCCTCGATCTGATAGGTCCAAAGGTTGTCGAGATGTGATT